TTTTTTTCCTGGTAATTTTTTTAGGCGGTGGTGGTCGTTGGATCCATGGGTTGGGGCTGTGATTTCCAATTTTTAATTTTTTGGAAATTTTGAAATCGTCGGAGCAATCGTCAGGCCGTCGCCGGAGCAGTCGCCAGAGATGGATGGAAGGTAGTGTTGTGGAGTGAGTGAGGTGTCATAGAGTGTAAATAATTAATATATATTATATTATATTTTAATATTTAATAAATTTATTTACCACCTGATTTTTGAAATATTTTAAGAAGTTTGTTATTTATGAAATGTGAACTTTAAAAATAGGAACTATGTATTGTTTTCTTATTACTAACTGTTTTTTTTGAAACACGGCTTTGGCTTTTTGGATACTTTTGATCTGGACTCTTCATCTGCTGGAATTGTAACCGTTCGATCTGTGGTTTGCACCTGAGTATGTATATTGCCCCCTCTCTCTCTCACATGATTGGAAGTGTTTGGTTTTCTAGGGTTTTCTCGTCTAAATCTTTCTCTGTAATATTTGGTAGGATTAATCTACTTGTACATTGTGGTTGACATAAAGGATGACATAATGTGAGTGGGGGTGGGGTCCACGATATTGTAGCATGGGACCCACCTCACTCATATTGTGTTATCCTTTATGTCACCCTCAATGTACCCCTAACATTTCCCTATTTGGTATTCTATCTGTAAATTTTTTAAGTTTTGGTCGGTTGACAAAAATTTATACAGATTACTTGGTTTTTGTATTGAAAGAGAGGCGAGAGAACTTGAAGAAATCTCTGATTTTTTTATACCTTTGTACTATTTATTGGTAGTTTCATAGTGAAATTGAGCGTAATCTACTTGTAGATGCTCAACGGATAAATATGCTTAAAGCTGAACATTCGGGCCTTCTTGTCGAAAAATCCTTCGCGTTCCTTTAATTTTCTGCAAAATTTATGTTGTTTACAAAATTATTGTTGTTAATCCTTTGAAAAATACAATAATGAGACCAACAGAACTCCATCTTGGAAGGAGTAGGTCGTGGGAGATTGAACAAACAATACGAGACAACCCTTCACAAGAGCACTTGCATCCTTCACTATGATCTATTTGCACCCTTATTTGCACCCTTTATTTACATTCAGACAACCATTTACAAGAGCACTTGAATGTTCATCCATTTACTTGGTGTTATTCTTGATTTTATTTGTTTACTGTTTCTTGAAGAACCATGATCTATTCTTCGGTCTTTATCAAAATGGCATTATATTATCACGAAGCAGCCAAAACCTATTAAACCAACATAAAATACATAATTCTTCCAACTTTGGATTGACTAGTCTTTAGAGAAACTGTGCTAAAGACATACCTTAAATATAGTTCTAAAAGGACTTCATGTTTGAGATTTTGATCGTGTAAGTAGCAGAGCCAATGATGAAAAGTATAGAAATCAATATCATTGCAGTAGAAACCAATATATAAGTATTGCTATTCTTGTAAAAAGATCATGTTTAAGACCTCATAATAATTAATCCCCTAAGCCTCAAAGTTCTCAGGACCAGCCTAGTATAAAAAAGCTTTCAGGCAAGAAGAACTATAAAAAAATATTGAATTAAAAAAATGGGTTGTTGTAACTAAAAATATATATCAATTCTAGAAGACATTGAATAAGTGAGAAAACGCGTGAAAATGACAAAAGAATTTAAAAATATAAAATAAAATGTAACAATGGAAGAGATTATGACATATATTTTGCTTTGGCTATATGTCTACATTCAAGTGGATAATGGAGGAAATTTAAGATGCATATGAGCTCAGAAACCTGCTTCACTAATCACTATATATATAGAAATTACAGTTATCGACATAATGAAAATCCCATGAATCTTGAGACCGAGGCAAAGTGTTTTACATAATAAAAAAATGTATCAGGTTTAGGCTGTCCTGGGCTTTCCTATCTAGGACCCCAGCTTGAATCGTGATGAAATTGGCACGTCATCGATGACAGGAATCTCCATCGATCGTGATCAATTAATTGTGAACTTCAAAAAAATTTGAAAATTTGACAAATCAACAAAAAATAAACGGGCTAATAATTTCTTGAACTTGTCTATTAGCAATGCATTAAGATCCTCCTCTTATATTTGTTATGGTCCACTTTTGATCTTATCATTTCTTTTAGAGAAGAACTAAAAATAAAAATGATGCATGTGGGCTCCTATAGTCCTATCCAATGGAAACTTATCCAAATTATTAAAGTGAAAATGTAAGAAGCTGCCCAAATTAGAAAAATGGTGAACAGAAATTTATACAGAAATTGAACAGAAATTTGAATTCTCAGTCACATGGTGCGGGCCCCATGTATTAAATATTGGAAAAAAAAATGTTGCTCCCTCCTTTTGGTTGTGTCTGTTTTGTAGGTACGGGAATTCAAAATTCTTGTACTTATAGCATGGTTGCCCAAATTAACCTCAACATTAGAGCACGACATACAACTCAACTATTTCAGTCCCACGTCAACTGAGCTCAAACATTTCAGGGCACAATTGGTAGGACTTTTGAAAGTCAAAAATAGCCCATGAGATTAAGAAGTTGTTTTTGAACACGATGATTTTCAAGAAATACTTTGTCTGACTAGAAAGCTTTTAGGGGAAGCTAGCATGAGATAGCTTTTACATTAAGAACCTATTTGAGCCCCATTTTCTCAACAAAATGCATTTTGGAATAATAATTTGATGGAGAATGTATAGTTAAAAAATAAGAAAATGTTTTAGGTTAGAGTATAATATTATTTTATTAAAAAATGTGTTGTTGAAAATAAGATAGAGAAAAATGTATTTTAAAAATAATGAGAACCAAACAAGAGCTAAACTCTTATACAAGAAGCAGAAGTCATGCCAACGGCCCTTAATATGTTTATATCGCAGGGCACTGAGACATACTGTTGCTCCACCGGGGACATCTGATAAAATGAAAAGATAAGATTACCATAATCCTGCATAAGGAAGACTTGAACAAATCGTGTAATGGTCCAACACTTTCCCTTAGATGAATCAAATATATACAAATCTGTGCCAGTATCAGATACTTCTCTGAGGAACAAGGTTTGAGTTACAAATTTCAGAGGTCAGATATGGAACTGAGAAGGGGGAGATGACAACTTTTCCTCTAGCTCTTCCAGTTTCTAAATATTCAAAAGCTTTAATTACATCACAAAAATGGAATGGACCAACCGGATCAATAACTGCTGTAAGCTTTCCACTCTCCAAACATGGCCTAAGATTCTCCAAAATTTCTCCAGAAACTGTCAAACTTGAATGCACTGCTCTAGGATTTGATGGAGGCCATGTTATGTCGATAACTGGAGCACCATCCTTAGCAACCACATAGGAATTCTTTGATTCACCTGGAAAAAAAAAATGCAACCCAGTTCAAGAAAATTTTTACTTAAATGTGTCACCACTTCGAGTGTATGATGAAATTGAAATGCGTGGGGCCGTAATAAATATTACGATAAAGTTACCAACTGTATCGTAAACGAGATCATATTTCTTCTCGACTTCCTCGTATCTGGTTTTTGTGTAATCAACCACCTCGTCGGCACCCAAGGTTTTTAGGAACTTCACCTTGGCAGTGCTGGCGGTCGCTGCCACCAAAGAAGCTCTGTACAATTGCTTAGCTAGCTGTACAGCCAGGCTTCCAACACCACCAGCTCCGCCTACTATAAAGATTGTTTGCCCCTCTTTAAAACCAGCATTTTTGAAGCCCTCCACTGCCGTCTGAACTGCCACCGGTAAGCTAGCTGCTTCCTCGAATGAAAGGTTTTTTGGCTTAGATGCCACCAAATTCTCCTCCACGACAATAAATTGTGCCAAGGTCCCAAGTTGCTTGAATTCTCCCTCCGCATTGAAATTCTGGATGTTTCCATAAACCTCGTCGCCAACATCAAATCTTGAAACATGATCTCCTTTTCCGACCACAATACCAGCCATGTCACAACCAGGAACAACCTGCAACAAATGCCATGTATATTATACGTGTACCTTAAAGTTACTGTGAACCTTATTATATCCACGTGGCAAGTTTGATATGCATTATTAGACTTGTACGATAGACAAGATTTTGAAGTAAATAAATAAAAATCGAATACAGTAATGTAAATGGAATGTTATTAGTCCTTGTTCGATCCCTAATTTAAAAAAAAATACATTTTTTTTCAACCACACATTCTTCAATAAAATAATATTATACGTAAATTTAAAATTTTTCCTTATTTTTTAACACATTTTTCATCAATCCACTATTTCAAAATGGAGCTCAAACACCCTTAACGGAATGTTATTTACAATATCTACAACAGAATGTCATTTACATTATGTTATGTTATCCAGCATCAATCCCATCTCCACCATCTGCATTGTGTTATACGCTTAATAATACATGGCATTTTTTTGATTAAAAAATGAAGAATGTTATCCATCTTAATCCACCATAATACCATCCACTCACTTCTATCAATTCTACTTTTATATTAAATTCATTATACGGTTTAATTCGGTACACTAAAAGCGAATTAAAGTTCTCAATCATTCACTGGAATCGAAATATATAAAAGACCGAGGTCACAATTTGTATCGATTAAACAAATTATTGGAGTTCTCAAAGTTATACACTCTTGCAAGGCCATATATTCTTTGTGCTGATCATTGATAATCACACTATCAAAACTCAATTTATTTTCAACAACACATTTAATAGTCCCACAACTTTTATCAACTTTTTAACCATACATTTTATAAACTTTTATCAAAATCTACTAAAAATTTATTTTTTATAAAAATCGAAGAGGGGCTTAATCTTGCCCAGATATGTTTGCAATTTTCTTTTCAAAGTAGTTGCATCCTTGTCTTTTGTTTTTTCATCAAAGAAGGGGTAGAAGGAGCCCTAACACCCCCTCTCCTCCTCCACCCCCTGGTCTGAATACACATAGGGTGGCCTTGCCTTAGAAGGCTACCGACGGCAGCCATTGAAAGACAAAAGAGATTCAGCTTAGTGATAATCTAACTAGTAGCAGAGTGAATTCATACGGAATCAGTAGCCGAAGTCCTCTGAAAACAAGCCATAAGTTAATTATCATGCACTCACCGGAAAATCTGTAAAGACCAGAGGGCGACAGCGCAACTTGAAATCAATAGGATTCAAAGCAGCTGCACAAACTTGGACAAGAAGCTGATTTTGTACTGGGTAAGGAATCGGGAAGTCTCCTAGGTTGAGGACTTCCTTAGGACCATGTACTTCATAGAACCAAGCTTTCTGCATCTTTGGAACGATTAACAGGCGTTGAATACTAAGCTGTGTGAATAATAATCTTGAGGATAGAGGTGAGAAAAATGATATGAATTTCAAGAAATTTTCATACGCGTTGAAAACAAAAGAAGAAAGTTAAACTCATTAAGCATTCCAGTCTTCATATGCCAAAGTTTTTTCTGATTGAACTGGTGCTAATATCATCTTGTTTGTCTGCTGTTATTGATTGGAAATCCCATTTTATAAATAATAATTCTCTTTTTAAGTAACTTATTATTGGCTGATAAACGTTAATATTAACATGTAACTTTCATGATATATAAAAGAAAGCATCTACATCAAAAATGGGACCGACCATCAATAGAAGGGACGGAATCCTCTTTTTTATATACCACCAATAGAATGATATGTGATTTAACTTGATTATCTCTAAACTTCCTCCATCAAAAATGGGACCGAACATCAATAGAAGGGACGGAATTTTTTATATACCACCAATAGAATGATATGTGATTTACCTTCATTATCTCTAAACTTCCTCCATCATATTGTTTGATAAAGATTAAAATTTTGACAAAAATCTAGGTCAAAATCAACAATTAATTTTAATCACGTATTTTAAGAAATTCATAACTTTTTGGTCATACATTTCATCATCTTTTATCAAAATATCAAACAAGGGGCTCGGTATGCAATAGTAGACAAGATTTAAACACCACAAGAAAAAAATTTAATTTGGGATTGTAGGTGGCACATATAAAAAATTTTGGTATAATTTGAAAGAAAAAAAAAGTTTGGAATTGTAATTACAATTTTTTAATTTTAATTTTTACATTTTTTACTGACATAAAATGTTGTATTCCACACTAAATGTTTTAAACATGGGAGTTTTCTGCTATTTTCAATAGCTATGGGTTTTCCACACGTCTGATAGGAGTTTGATGCTATTACGCCTAAAAAAATTCAACAGATTTCAAGAGATGTTAAAAAATAACTTATACTTGACATAAAATTGTCAAAGAGAATAATTAGCGGCGAGAAGACCTAGATCTATGGTTGGACATGGTTCGGTTCGGTTCGGTTCGATTAGATTCGATTCGATTCTATTCGATTTTCGAGTTTCGTACAATAATTAATTTTTTTTATCTTTAAAACAAAGTTATATTAGTTTAACTATGACATGTTCAACATAAACTCTTATAAAATAATATAGTCTAATATCATAATATCTTTTGCGTATCTCTTTGTTGAGTTTTTCATAAATTTAGCTGTTAAATCACAAGAGAAAGATAGTCAGTTCACAATAATAAAATGACAGAAACGACACTACGGTAGAATAAGATATTTAGGTAAAATTTGGGTCAATTTGATTAAGTTGGACTGGCCGAAAATTAGAAATAGTAAAATCATATTTTACGTTTGAGCTAAATTAATTAGTTAACAAATTCATTTAGAAAAAAATTAAATAACTTGACTTGTTTAAAATTAAAAATTAAAAAAATTAGAGAGATTCGGTTCTTATTCGATTTTTCGATAGAACCGAATCAAACCCGTCGGTTCTCGATTCAAATACTCATTCGGGTATTAAATTTAAGAAAAATCGCTCGATTCGATTCAGTTTGGTTCGGTCCAATTTGGTCTGGTTCAATTCGGAAGTTTTGTCCATCCCCACCAAAATCCTCTATAGAGCAACTGTCACATTTTTAAACTTTTAGTTCCTATTTTATTTTGCTAAAAATTAATTTTTTAGTGAATTTTTATAAAGGTTGATGAAATTTGTGCTTGAAAAGTGGATAATAATAGTGGATTTTATAAAATGTAGGGTTAAAATTAATTATTGTTTTTTACATATTTTTTTATCAACTTTTTAGCTAAATCAAACAATGGTTTACACAGATTGCACCCTATCTTAAGCAGTGTTTTAAAAAGCGTAATGTATGACCATGCATAGAGGCCAAGCTTTGGTCGATGCGCGCCTAGACAAGGTTTAGGCGTCAAAAAGTGTTTGAGACAAGAAATAAAATATATTATATCTAAACTTTTGAGAGTTTCCCAAAATAGAGGTTGCGACGTTGCGTTGAAGAGGGCGAATTCTATTAAGACATTAAGACAAGTAATAAAATATATTATATTTTTTATTATTAAATCTTATTAATAGGACATATTTTTGTTTATTTATGTTTTTTAATTGTGGTTTTTCAATTATTTTTTGTAGAGTTTCTTAGTATAACAAGTCAAGTAATAGATAATTAATTTGTATGGTTCATAAGTACTAGCAATACTTAAAAATATTTTATTTCTGTAACTTCCATTTCTATTTTATTCTTTTGATATAGAATTGAAGGCTTGAAGCAAATGAATCAATGACATAGAATCATCGATATTTTAGTGTTATTATTTACTCTTTGATAATTTGCATACAATGGTGAATGGATCTTATTAGACAACTTTTTATTTTGTATATTTTTAAATTGGACTACGTTATTTTATAAGAGTTAATATAGTATTGTAGTAAGAGATAAGATTGAACATGTCATTGCTTGTCATAATTAAATTTAGATCCTAAAGATTGAACATGTCATTGCTTGTCATAATTAAATTTAGATCCTACGATTTCATTTACTAAATACTCGAAAATCCTAGTTCGATTATCTTTAGAATATGCTATTTGTACATAATTTTATGTATATAATAGTGTCCACACCCTCACATGAAGGGAGATCCATTTCGGATAAAATATAATATACTCGAAGTGAGTCATCTTCCATGTGAGGATGTTGACACAATTATATACATAGAATTATGTACGTATAGACAAACCCTCAGTATTAAAATGCACTTTTCAACTTATAAAGGGGCGCAGGCGCGTGGTGTAGCAGTAACATTGTTAACGGGCCAATTGATTTTGCTTTGATTGTGGGCTATATACAGGTGAGATTAAAGATGGGCTTGTAAACGTTACTTTAGCTTGGGCCTCCGTGCTTTTGTTCTCAAGGTTCAGCATATTTCGTGCGTCACTAATAGAGAAGATATTTATAGACGATAGGAGTGTTTTACACGACCATATATGCTTTAAAATATGTTTGATATTTGATGAATTGAGCAAATTATTATTTAATATATACTGTATACGTTGTTTTTATAGCTAAATATCTGAATTTGAAAAAGATTGATGCAAAATGAGGTGATTTAATTAATAAATACTATTTTGAATAGCAAAGTCATTATGATAGCAAAATTCCATTGAATTCACGACTAAGTTTTCCCAAGAAAATTGTATTTTAGATGTTTTAATTGAAAAATATGAATGAATTGGAGTATCCAATTTTATTATCTTACGTCATACAAGGCTCCTTTTTGAGCCCTATTTTTTTTTTTTAGGAAAATGTGTTTTGAAATAGTGATTTTTTTTAAAAAAGAGTGTGGTTAAAAAAATATAACAAAAATGAGTTTACGTGTAAAATTATTTTATAAAGAATGTATGATTGAAAATGAGTTTGAAAAAAAAAATTAAGATCCAACAAGGACTATGAACAAGGTATTACAAGTTCAATATGTATATATAACATATATGTAGAGAGAGAGAGAGACTATATGAACAACGTATTACAAGTTCAATATGTATATATATGTGTATAGAGAGAGACGCAGAGAGGGGGGTTGGCCGTGGAGTCGGCAATGTTAAATGGGATGGGAGAGGGTACGTATTTGCCTATTTAGTGTGGGATGTGAACTATTTGAAAATTTTAGATGGTCTTAATAAAATAATTATGGTGGGTTAGATTCATTTAAAATGAGGGCTAAGATTGTATGCTAAATATATTTGTTAAAAATTTTGATAGGAGGAACACTTTCATATATAGCTTATATTATGCATCGATGACCTGACATATCAATTAATTGATGAATCATTTGATTTTCGAAATCTATCATAAACTTTTATATATATATATATACGACGTGGATGGTCAGCCAATCGACTTACTCCTTTTTGTCTTGAGGTCGATCTTCCTCCATCACGAGGGTGTCAACCGATTACCCTCTAAGCTCCTTTGTTTTAACATTCAAGTTCTTTACGAGTGATGTCATTGTTGGTCTCTTTAAATCAATAAAAAAAAACTCGTTGTAAGAACCCTCTTTATTTAAGACATGTGAAATCTTCCCAATAATTACATCGGTGCTGTGCTTCTTCACCTAGAAATAAGTTGAAAACTGTTTTCCAACCTTAGCAGCATGATGATAATGTGTTTTTGATCAATTATTTTCTCCTAAAATAATAAAAACACACAAATTTAAGTATTAAGTTCATAAAATTACTCCCAAAAGTCATATTTTGATGGTACTACTACTGCTACTCTCTTATCGTGTCCTTTCTCAAGTCGGGATAAATACCGAGTCTTGCATACTTTATTTATGACTTTCAATTAGGAGTGGACGTTGTCTGGTTCAGTCCAATTTTGAAGAGAACCGAACCGAGTACCAATGAAAATCATAAAAAATGAAAAAATTGGTTCCATATCTAACTATAGGACCGAATCAATCGATTCTGATACCACATATTCGGTTTGGTTCTTTATATTGAAAAAAATATGAAAATAAAGTGTAAAACTACTTGTCAAAATGAAATTAAGCAAAAATAGAATATGAAATCACTTGTCATTTTTATAATCTAACAATGCTAAAAAAAACTATTAAACAAGGCAACAAACAAAATTCACTCCAAAGTTCAAGATCAACTTATAACAGCAATATTAAACACAGCATAAACGGTAAAATCTCGATCGAAAATTAATTCTTAAGAAAATTCATATAACAATAGTTTGATTATTTTTAGTAATTTTTAAGGATCGTGATTTTTTATGGCCAACCGTTTTGAAAACAACGACAAATTTGAAAATTTATGAATATTGAATTAAAAAAATATTTTTCTTATTGGTTGCATTGAAACTATTAATTTATAAAATTATTTAGACTTGAATTTTGATTACCCGTTAAAGGAAAGAAGAAGAAGA